GAGCGGAGAAAAGCCGGAGGTAATCGCCGTCCGGGTAATGCCGAGTCCCGGGCAGCATCGGCATTGGCCGGCTCCCGCGGGAGAGAGAACAGTCGCGTTCAATTGCGTAATTGCCGTTAATTGTTTAAGTGCTTACGAATGGTCGGACCGCGACGATTAGTTCAGGGCGCACCTCCTCTGCTTCTTTCTATTCTCTTTTGGCCACTTTGCCTTACCTATTTTCCTACTGACAGAAGCAACAGCACTCCTCGTATAAAAATAGCTTTTATTCCGAATTATGCAAGTCAATCGGCTGAGCTACGTAAAATTAACTATCCAAGGATATTTTGATATAATCGCTAGTTGGGTGGGAGCGTGGTTATCGTATGAATTTATTATCTCTCATAGTAAATAATCGGTCGTTGGAATTTTGTACAATTTTAATATTCATCGTTGGATAATTTTGATCGATACCTCTAACGGTTAAGCGAGAAAGTCCTTTTATAGAATTTATCTAATACACGAATAATGAATGGCTATATTTCCTAAAGAGATACGTACTTTTTTTTCTCAAAGACTGCTTCTATAATATACGGATCTGCTCAAAGCTTGTGCGGATCAAAAACTTACCTAATGATCGAACTAAATCGTAACGCTACGTTTCCAATTACATCCGGAAACTCTTGGTGATTATCGCCAGCCAATCGACATTCGATCTTTTCCTTTATACGCCATTACTCTCTCTCTCTCTCTCTCTCTCTCTCTCTCTCTCTCTCTCTCTCTTTCTCTCCTTCCTCTTTCTTTACATCCCCTTTTCCTCCCAATTCTCTCTCTTTCTCTCTCTCTCTCTCTCTCTCTCTCTCTCTCTCTATCTCTATCTCTATCTCCCCCCCCCTCTCTATCTCTCTCTATATCTTTTAAATACTTCAACTTCAAATAAAAACATCAACTCTATAAACTTGCCGAGTATCTACTTAAAGTATTAAATCGTCATTCCAAATGCTCCAACGATCGTCTTAATTAGTATTAATTATTAAACAATTATAGATGAATTCTTGCGCTAATTCAAGTAGGACATGCAAACGTGACATTCCCCTCCAAAATTCCGATAAAAAATTCGGCTCGACGTCTTCCTTCACCGCACTCTCGGGCTTGATTAATCTAACCGTTAACAATTATCTCGATTTCTCTCCGCGAATTCTCGTTCGCTTGCGATTTCGCTCGGACCCGGCCCACGCAATCTCATTGTCCATGGAGACGTCGGCGCCAGTAGTTCTCCAGCTCTCTCTTTTCCTCTCTTTTCACTCTCTTCGCTTCCCTCCCTCCCAACTCCCTTCTGCCATCATTCGTCCCCCTTCACGGCTGCCGCGAAGCCGCTGCCCTCACGTGCGCCGTATGAGTTCGAAAACGGTGCATTACGTCTTTGTTGGCAGGCACAAAGCTTAATCCGACTGGCTAAAGTTCGATCGGTGTTGTTGAACAATACATACGGACATAATTAACTAGCCCGCTAATGAGTTTGTTTATCGAATATAAATTAATGCAGCGACTTTATTGTACAATTAACATGGGGCATATTATTTGCAGACTATTGCTAGTTCCGATTGCCTTTTTGTTTTCAGAGGTATTAATTTCATTCGAAGCTTATCGTGAAATTTATTATAAGATTCGATTGAACGAGTAAGGAAAATTTGTATCGATTCGATTAATTTGATGCAAGTGGCAGCTAAATTGAAGATATTCTCTCCGATCGTGAAGCTACTTATTGAAGCTAATTCTTACATTTTGTTGTCCTTATTTAATTGCCTACAATATCGAGAAACAGACATGATGATATTAATGCGAAATACGTGCTCGTGGATAAGGTTTTGGCATTGAAAAAATTCTTTCTTACTTTAGGCGATAATGTGAAATGATCGAACGCTTTGATTCGAACAAACTATCGATTGGGCTCGATATCGGTAAAGCAAATTTGTTTATAGTTTAATAAATTAATATCGGCAAATTAAGCTTCAATTGGGATACGATCGAATGCACATGATGTGGAAATAATTGTTTACATGAGAACCTGCCTTATTCTCTTATATTAACCATATAATTGAAAGGAGGACAATAATAAAATGGTATCAACCGGCACCCCTGTTCCCCTTCTTATCTAGCTCTACCTTAATCTTTCCGTATAGTCTGAGTCTGGGAGAGCAGTGTCGATCGATTTAACGCCCGATTAATTGAGCCACTCGATCTCTGCTCATCCCTTTGGCCCATCCATGGCTTTATGCTTGCGCTATTAAGCGACGAGGAAAGTGGGGTGGAGCGTAGTTTGACGGGGTTGTAAGGGGAAGGGGAAGGTACGAAGCGCGCGCGCGCGCGCGCGCGTGTGTGTGTGTGTATCTCTCTCTCTCTCTCTCTCTCTCTCTTTCTGTGTGCGTGCGTGCGTGCGCGTGCGTGCGCGTGCGAGGGTGGGAGGGGAGTTTACCAACGGCTGAAAGAGATAGAAAGAGAGGGAGATAAAAATGAGAAACACGCTAAGTCCTTTTTTTGCCTATTGACCAAGCTTGGGGTGACGATGGGGCATAGCGAGGCAACTACGCGTACTGTTATGATGTGTGTGTCTCGCATATAAGTCGATTGCTTTTGTGCTCTTTGAAGTACCTCGTGCGCGCGTACAACAGTGTACACGCTCACTCCCCGGAATGATTATTAAATTGCGAGAGTTCCTTCTCCGGTATAAGGGCATGTACGAGCAGAAGAGAGAAGGAGCTGCGTTAAGAGTCGATTTTCAGAATCACTTAATGTTCGAGAGAGAGCACGTCAATTTTGGAGATTGAATTTTTTTTTAACTGCTCGCGAATTTCTTGGCTGCAATTTACTATATGAGAGCACTATTTCCCGGTATTGATAACGATCAAATTATATCGAATAAATAATTATAATCAAATAAATAATTAAATCGTCGTAAGAACGCACTTGGGCAGATTTTCAACATTTCACTCGCCGTTTCAACGTACTTTGAGAATTATATCCATGTGGTTGTTTCCTCGCTCCATTAATCTCTCTTCGCGATAAAATACGATAAATTATTACATTTAGCGAATTAATTGTAATTGAAAAACTAGAATCCTCCTCCATATAATTAAGTATAATATAATTAACAAGAGAGAGAGAGAGAGAGAGAGAGAGAGAGAGAGAGAGAGAGATGAAGATGAAAAAAATAAGAAGAAAAAAAACTAGTTGATGAAAATTGGAAGTACACGTATGATCTACTAATGTCATATTTCAAAAGAAATAATTTTTGTTTTTTCTTTTTTTTTTTTTTTTTTTTTTTTTTGAAGCATCTTATAAGAAAAAAGTTAAGATATTCCTTATAAGTCCTTATTGACGCAGGGAATCGACACTTTAGCGAATCAAGCAATATTCATAATAAAAAGTCCATCGTCTCCATCCATAAATAATTTATAAATTGAATACTAGAGGTAATCACATTTCTTATCATACCGCTGAAATTCTGTACTATTACAACTATTATCGACTGACTACATTCCCTAATCATCGTGTCCATTAAGCTGTAATGCATAACAGTTAAAGTGGTTGTCAAAGATATACAATGATCGATTGACCATTACCAAAATCCCATAGAGCTCGAAGATTAGCCACAATCCCGCAGTGAGTTTAACGACGAATGAAAGACCAGTGGACAAAACGGGCGTACCAGCCAATAAAATCGGCGCCTCCTGTCGTTCACGTTAGTATCCATCGAATGTCGGGCCGTTAGTCAAAGATACATATGCATATGGTGAGTGGGAGGAGAGCCGGAAAGCTGTCCATTTGCGACGCGACAATCGATCGCAGCGAGCCGTTAATGTCGAAAAATGGGGTAATTTCGTATCTGAAATTGGTATCCGGGATTTCCTAGATTGAAATAAAGTGGCCGGGCGGTAACAGCGGCGGCCGCTGGATCGTTTAGCGATGTTGTCGAGCGACGGCCAATTGCTGGCATTGTCGCTCTGCCGTGCCACAATGGCCCCAATCGGAATACTCGTTCTCTCTTTCTCTTTACAACCACCTCTATACAGCGTCACGCTTATTCACGCTCTATCCCAGCTCGCTCGCTCTAAATTTCTCTCCCGATATCTCGTCAATTTCTTTCCCACCTACTCTTTCGCATCATTCTCATCTTTTATCACTCTCAAATTTCCCTCACCCCCTCTTTATATATACATATATATATATATATATATATATATATATATATATATATCGTAGTCTCTATCGTTTTTTTCTACTTATCGACTTTTTTCCCTACCAGGTCTATGTGTGTACAGACGTATCGAAGAGCGAAAATGAGAACGAGAGTGAGAGAGACTGGAGCATCCTTGAATGTCGTTCTTTTCACCAAGGCAACCCTAGCTAACTCTCGTCGTCGGTCCAGAACGCATCGCACTCTCGCGCTTTAGTTCTTTTTGTCTTGTTGCAGTGAAGCACGAGGCAGCGAACGATTGTCCGACTGGTCGGGGATTGAGTTTGAGTCACCGATTTTCCAACGATACAGAAAAGTACGGGAAAGGCTATTTGGCCATTGTCGGGCTCCATTTCCCGCCCCGCGGAATCACCAACTCTCCGATTTTCGCGAGCGTACGTGCGAACGATTCGGGCCCCCCCCCCCCAATTCCATTGCAGTACGAACTTGGTTTTCCACTTTGTCCCTATGCGCCGTCTAGCTTACGTCGTTTCCACTTTATTCGCGCAGATTTTCACTGTTACGCGATATAATTGTCGACTCCGTTGGCGAGCGACTTTAACGAAGCATGAGACATTCGATTGAACATAGACGGGATAGTAGTGGCACGCGCGAGAGCCCTCAATTAGAAAAACAAATTATATTTCGTTCGAGTATTTTTCGAAAGAGCGAAAAAGTAATTCGCCGACGATTTTTCCATATAGTCGCGTATGCGCGCAACGAGTGAAAGGATTAAATTGCAAACAACATCGAAGCTGCTGAAAGCTTTGCGCGAGACTTTGCAAAATGCTATAAATCACGAATGAAATGCAAGCAAATTTTATTTCACCCACCTCTACGTTTTCATACATTTTTTTTTTCTTCTTTATGTTTCATTTTTTTTTTCTTTTTCTTTTTATAATACCATGGTGAATTAGTGGATTTTTGTAAATTTTGAAAACGAATTTACCTCTAATTATTGAATGGCGTAAAATAAAACTAAAGCTGCAAATTGCGAGCGATATGTTAAGACAACAAGCGCAAGCGAATGCGGAAAAGAATTCGTATGCTTTAATACCGAAATCGCCGGGGGATTTATACCGATTTTCGCATTAGAATTAACTTTCATGTATTATCGGTTCGCTCGTACATTTGGAAAATACATTTCCGTAATAATTACTAAAGAGTCGATTCTTCATTTTTTCTTTCTTTTGTCTCCTACCAAAGTAAAGAATAATCTTCTCTAAATTTGTGAAAAATAACGATGTAATAAGTATACCGTGATAATTGAACCTTACCCATTATATAATTTATTTATTCAGCGTTAAATGAAAAATGTCTGGCCGTACGAAAAATATTCTGCCCTTGCGTTAATCGTTATTTAAAAGTCCATTGAGCAACTGCACGTTGAGACGCCTTGGCAGCGCGCGAAATAATCCGTTTAACGCAATCGGAAGCATTTATACAATTTTTGCATTTCTTAAATTGCTCGCGAAAAGCCAAGAGCACAATGTACTCGAGAACAATGAAAGGGAAAACAGACCCGACGACGCGACGTACTTCTTTATAAATTTAATTTCCCGACTGTGGGCCGGACTCCTCGACGGAATTCCGACGGTTAGCTCCTACAGGACCGTCGTAATTCTCGTCGGTGAGGAACAGCGAGAGGGAGAAAAGTGCTGTCGCGCGCCCTCCGGCTCCTCTTTCCCGCGATAATAACAAAGTGTTTGACGGCCTGGCGAGGTTGGCCGAGGTCGCGGTGCTCGTGGTGGTGCTACGTAGTGAAGGGGCGATGGGAGGGGGATGGGAAGCCGAGGCCGATTTCGCAATGATTAATTCGCTCGTGCGCCCGTCTTTCGTGAAATTACGGCCGTAGGGGCGGGAGAGAGAGAGAGAAGAGAGAGAGAGAGAGAGAGAGAGATAGTGAGGGGAGGGGGAGGAGACGGATTGCAGAACAATGGGCCGTAATTAGTCGAGTGGTCGAGAAGAGGCGCGACCCCGTGGCCGCTAAAGACGAGTGAGACGACGTTCCCTCGACGTCTTACGAGGCTCCGCCAAAGCATGCGGCATCCTTCGGCGCCTTATTCCAATGGGTATTTCTCCGTGGGTAAGTGATCGCTCATTGGCTATTGGTAGTACGCGTGCAATTTAAAAAATTGCAATTAAAGGTGTTTTCCACGCTGGTGAGTGGAGATAAAAAGAGAGAAAGAGATAAAGCACGTCCGATAGAATTTACTCGATAGAACGGGTGAATTGAAAGTTGTTCACCGCGTGTCAGGATAACACCGGCCCTTACCTTAACGTATCATTTTTCTCATTGCGATTATCATCGGATACGGACGATGGGTACTTAAAATTCCGTTTGTTTATTAAAAGTAAATTACCGTTGACTGATGTAAACTTAAGCCGCCAAGTTGGGGTGGGGTGGGTCGGCTCAATGCACGGATCCATGACAGTAATGATAAAGTTACGCGAGAATAAAGCAGAAATGGCAAAAAGAAAAAAAAGAGGAGAACCGACCTGTACTCTGGCCTCGGAGAGGTCGAGCCTCATCGCCAGCTCCTCCCTCGTAAAGACATCCGGATACTGGGTCTTCTCGAACGCTCGTTCGAGCTGGTGCAGCTGATACGTGGTGAAGGTCGTCCGAGAGCGGCGCACCTTGCGCGGCCTGTCGGACTCCCCGAGGTCAAGGGGATCGTTGAGGGTGTCACCAAGCTGCTGCTCACTGAGTCCGATTTCCGTATCTCCGGATTCACCGACGGCGTCCGTCCGACTCGCGTGATCTGTCGCAAACACAGAGAGATTCCTTATTATCCCGAGTTTTCCTCGATTTTGAGGGGGTCAGTGCGCAAAGCAACGAGACTCACCATTGACGGGACTAAGCAATAATGGATTGCTAGTTAAATACGTGTGCGGGACTGTAACTTGGACATTGTTGGATGGATTCATGGTAATATAGTAATTACATGCTATACCGAGACTCTCCTATTATAACATTACTTCATAAACAGTACTCCGAGATTGAGTCATGTTTATTTCAATGCAAGTATCGCGAATATTTCGCCCTTACTTAAGCCGAACGATGCATCAAAACTTTGATTAATTTGTTAAAACATACAATTATACGCGAGTGAGTGAAACTCATTTTAATATTAGTTCCGCGGCAGAATTTGCAAACTAATAACGAATGGTTGTTCGCATGTAAAAATACGATGCAGTAAAGCGAAAAACTAATGTCAATGTGCTACGTGAAATTAAAATATAAAAAAAAAAAGGAAAAAAAAAAAGAACAAATATATATTTATATAACCACTTACGATAAAAATATAAAATGTCACATGTCACGTTTTCGTCTATCGAATTTTATACTTTTTTAAGCCGTGCGTGCACACTCGATTCATATTTTTTCGTCGATGATGTATGATCGACGGATTTGTCAATTTTTAAGCCTCGCGAGCGTTGATTTTTTTACCTGAACGTCTCCGCCAGTTGAATACTCGAACCATTTCAGGCCGAAATCGCCGGGAATAATGCAGACGCAAGTGTACGCCGATGTATTGACTGTCTGATGGAGGAGAAGAGGGGGATTAACGCGAACGTTTATTAACGATCTATACGTCCGTTAGTCTCTTGATTTTTTTTCCCTGCCCGTTATTCTTCTCCCGTTGATTTTACATTCAGTGCGTTCGCGTTACTTCCCATCTATTCATACTTCAATATCATTAGATCCTGCAAATCGTCCATTTTAGCGTTTCAAGCCACTTGATTAATTAGAATCTTTTATACTTTATACTCAAACTACGTCATCGTTTTTTATCGAATCGCAATCGAACTAATATTATGGAAAAAATAATATTTGCATTAGTCAAAACCATTAGACTTACTTAAGTCAGAATTGCAATATAAATTCCAACTTACTGAAGTCCAAATTGTAATGTATTGCGGTTAAATATCAAACTAATTTCTTATTATATGTGCGCAATTTGTAGACATTTATTGTATATTTACTAAGACTTCCTAGTTTTTAATATCTAAAGCATTAGAATATAATCAATATAGAAGATTAATAAGAACAATAGAAATCAATAAATTTCGTACTTTTGCTGCCATTGTACTCGTTTCCTCGATATTCTTTATCCACTTTATAATGTGTATTCCGAACAGATGGTAAAATAGAATTCGTCCAACTGATCGGCGTTTCGCTTGAGAGTTGAAAAAAAAAAAAATAAATAAAAACAATAATAATAAAAGAACTAACAAAATATCGGCAAACGACTTCGATATCGAGTAAAATCTACCGTACACGAGCGAAAAATGTTGTCCACTTATCGAGTATGCTAGTACGTATTAATATATTAGCGAATCATTTTCTTCGCATAATAAAATAAAAAGACGTTTGAGAAAAATGCAACTCCGTGCAATTCACATTTATTGCGAACAGATTCAAACATTTATTGCCACTATATTAAATGCCATCATAATGATTGAGTAATTAGGTTTATTTTTCGCCAATGATACTATTAAATAACATCATTAATTTTCTAACTAATTTTTTAGATTAATAAATATTAAATACTCGAATGTTTGATTTGAAATTATTTAGTTCAACAGTAATTTGAAAAATGATGAGTGCAACAAAATATTTTTACTTATATTATAATTTGTCTATTTTATTTTATTTCCAATTAATCGTTTCATTAAATGGAAAAATAGAAGAATTTTGAAGAAAAATATTCTATATTGTATAATGAGGTACCTTACTAATTCTGGTTATTGTTTTGTTTTAATATTGGAAAATGGAAAAATATTCTCCAGTAGGGCAAAAAAAAAAGAAAAAAAAACAATTCTAACAGTTTTAACAAAAGATTTACTTGATCACAATACCTAAAATCGTCTATACAATTTTTTTTTTTTTTAAGGATTCGTCTTTCAGATATTTATATTTAAGAATCGATCATTCGCCTATTCGTAATTAATGTTCATAAAAATTTATTTCTAATAATTTGCGAGAAGAACAATGATAAGTAAAAAAAAAAAGAATTGTTACGGAATAAAGTACGGATAAACTAATTTTTTTCTCTCTGAATATTTGTCGATACAACTGAATAAACGAACGAAAATTTTTCCTCAAAAACAATTATTATATATGTATTTACGTGTTACATTAAAGCCTTTTTTTACATTTATTAAAAAGTATAATTTATAATTAAGAAACTATAGGTCATAATATACGTTAATAATTTTAATTAATAATAATGTTTTTCGTTATCATAGTATTTATTATATTATAAATTTCGTTAATTTTATTTCACATACAAGTAGCTAAAAGAATTATATTCGAAATACACAGTTCAATAAATAACATTGCAATTTGCAATGTATATATATATATATATATATATATATAATAAAAAAAAATAAAAAAATATTCACGTTTGCTTAAGTATTATTTATAAAATTATAAAAATAATATAAACGATCTCTTATTTCATTGCTCATTAAAACAGTTTAAAATCACTTTATTTTACTAAATTCAAATATCATACATAGAATTAAAAGAGATAATAATAATATATTAAGCAAACAAAAATTTTGGAGAGCTAAAAGCTTAACAGGACTTCTGACTAATTACGTTCTATATGATTGGCATATTCCATCTAGTGCATCTAATAAATCCGCTTAAAACTTACAAAGACACACATCTACGTGCGCCATAAGTATTCACCGACGCAATTTTGTCACTATAAAAGGACAAAATTTAAGAGATAATATATTAATTTAAAAAGATTTTTCATTTTTTCAGATTAGAAACTCGTTCGTAACATTATAAACTGAAATGAAAAATTGAGATTAAATTTAGAGATTTATAAGTCCTCCCTTGATATTATTAAAATTTTCTGCTTAAGCCTCCAATTTAAAATATCCGATAATGTCTATAATGAAAATGCTATTCAATTTTTTTATGCATCTTGAAATGAATAATTCCGACGATTATACATTTTAATCGAATTTTAGATGAATTTAATTGAAAAATTCTTACAATTTCATTAGTACAAACGCTAAAACTTTCGAGCACAAACCGCGTGTAAATAAGCTACTTGAAAATAAATTATTTATCATAAATAGGCAATTGTTTTAGGGTGGTTTGGAACTATCGTTATTGATGAAAAGTTTTAATTTTATATAATTAAAGGGAGTAGAAACTAAATATTATTTATGGCTACTGCTTCCTAGAGGTAAGGAAGTTCATTTTGCGTTTGCGCGTAATAAACATCAAAGGAGATGTTAAAAATATAGGCAAAATTGCGTTCCCGAGCTCTGTTAAGCTAATTAACAGAATATAACATAAATCTCAAATATTAAATTCCACTTTTAATACACTAAATATGCAAGTCGTTTTTACTCGAAGATACCGGTATCGCAAATAATAGTTTGTCATTTAATCGCTTCTCAGAATAAAATTTAGGAAAATGGTGAGTTATTGAGAGCAATCACGCACACAATAATTACTCACTTAAATATGATTTAGGAATACAAGATTTTTCTAATTTTTCTTTTATAACGAGTATAGTTTGATATAAAATATTTAATATGAGAATAAATAGTTGAGAAGAAAATAGACTTACAATTTGTTAGGCTATTTTGTAATATGTAAAATTATTTGAAATCAATTATTCTGGGTAGAATTTGGTATTGTCATAGTGATACTCTTCTGAAATAATACAAATATGCTTTTCAATAGGATTGTTATTAATATAATTAAGCACCTTCACATTTAAAAGTTGAGTTGCACGTTAACGACATTTATGTGTATTCGTGTTTATATCGTTTGTATTTCAGAATTTCTACGCATAATTTAAGATTCATTATGATTTTACAACCATATACTGTTTGAATGTGCTATTTGCATTAATAATAATGATGGAAAATGAACGCATAATTCCTTTCGCATAATATATTACAATTTATGGAAAATAAAATCCATTTAGTTAAATAAAAAAATAAAAAAAAAAAAATAATAAAATTTAAAAAAAAAAAAAAAAAAGAACATACCACCTTGTGCCTTTCCTTTCAAAAGAAAAACATACTAAAATACAAAACATCATCTTTCATTCATTAACGACATAATTATCCGATTGAATCATTAATTTTGGCGTCAATAAATTAAAGCACTTGTAATCATAAGTTTGAACATTTAATTTATGTAAAAATCTGCTTTTATAAAGAAAAAGAAAAAAAAAAATAATAATAATAAAAAAAATTAACAATGATAAATAGAAAGAGAACGGCTATATTATTGAAATTTAATTTAATATTAAAGTCCATACTTTGAATTAAACATTTAAATTGGAATTTAATTGTATTTGGACGTTCTTAATACACTCGACGTAAGCGTTTACCATTAAGCGAATTCAATTGATTTGTAACATCCTGCCCGCTCATAACGTAGAGTAGTACAAATGTTTTTCCCTTTCCACTCAATTACCAAACAGATGTACAGATTACACGAGTGTTGGCATCATTGAATTATAAACATTGCAAATTAAAGTTTCTTTCTCATCCGTTCGATTACAATAATACAATGGACAAATCAATATGCAAGTTTCAAAGCAAACTTCAAAAGTTATGATAAAAAATTGCAATCAATTAAAACCTTACATTCGAGCTCGAAAGTCCTTGAATAACTTTTAAACTAAAAACTTCAATCGTCTGGCTTAACAATTTTTCGTTTGAAAAACGACATTTATAATAATGTCAATTTACTCGCGTACGTATATATATACCCTAACGAAGCGGAGGGAAAACGAGTTGTTAATTATTTCATTCTTATTACGTGCCTCGCACACGTTACCACTTACCTTTCACTGCTCCATGGTTAATAATGTTGCTATTCCGTTGATATTCCCCATAAAAGTTTGCAATAGAATCAAATGATCGTCGATGCAAGGTCGAGGCTTATCGTTAAAAGCCGTTAATTGCCCTTAAAGTCCGTCCCGAATAATATACAACTTAATTCCAAATTCCGCTACATTTCCAAACGCCAACAAGTATATTTACAAATTGCCAGTCGAACATGCCCAGTCGGCCATAAACACTGTCATTTTGTCTCGACGGAGACAAAAGACTTTGCCCCCGGCAGCGGCGCATCCGCACAGATTCATATGTAAGTACGACGGACGAATCGAGCGAGCGGCTAATCCCACATGAATAAAGGGATTTTTATGTTTTTATGCCGCTTCACAATGGCTTGGGCACTCGATGCTAATCTCCGACCGAGGGCCCTGACCTTTTTATCGAGTCCGACACGCGGCCGCGTTGGCGCACGAGTGGCTGCACCCGCCGGACGCGAAATTAAAAATTCAAAATCCGTTTGGCCGTGTTGTAGCTCTACTATTCTTTCGTCGAAGACAGTCTATGGCCATCCTTCATACCCTCCCTCCATCCCTTTCGCTACTCTATCCCTCTTCCTACCAACAGCCCTTCCGTGGCGCCTCTATCTATCTATCTATCTATCTAGCTATCCATCTATCTCACTCACTCACTCACTCTCCCCTTGCTGGTGCGATCGGTAGCGTTGGGACGTGGGTGGCAAACGAGCGCGCGATGCAGAAAAGCGAATGGGGGTTGTGAAGGACGCTCGTTCGCTGGTTGCTTACACCTGTTGGAGGGCTTAAACGGGGCTTGGACGAGGGAAGGGCGAGACCGGGAGGCGCATACGCGCTCGCTCGCTCTTGATTTCTGAACGCGGGGCTCTACTCTACTCGAGTCCCGTTCAATTCGTGCCCGAGCGCCTCCTCTCCGGTCCTAATGGAGATTAGGATTTTTCACGAAATTGACGCGAGAGGCTGCAGACAATTTTACAATCGCCATATAAATAGCGAAGGATAATTAATTGGCGAGGCAGGACGAACGCGTAACTAAGACCCGTAACTAAGAGTAAGGCTAATTATTGATGAGCGCTAATAGGAGGCTGAGGGTGAGAGGAGGGGTCCAGTGGAAAAGGGAGTCGGGATCGGAGGGTGGGGGGGGGTATCGAGGAATTACATCTTGGTGCAAAGTTTGCGGTCTGCTCTTTCGCTTTCTTCGTGGTACGCTTGTTATCGGGCTGGGTTGTCAAATTTAACGATCTCTGTCCGGTTTATGGTGTCTCCTTTTCATTCAGCCGGGATGTTTGCTTTGTCCTGAAATTGGCCTAACCTCAACCGTCGCTTCTCGACGCTTTTACATCTTCGATCTGATTAGCTTGTCACTGTCAACCGGACCATCAACCTTTTTCAATTTACGGTATTTACGCCCAGGACAAGTCAACTTTATGTTTCAAGTTTATCAAGCTTTATGGGGTTGCTCGACACATGACACGAATGTTTATAAAAATCAATGATTTTTCGTACGTTTACGGATAATACGCAGTTGGGCATTTTTACATTTTGATATTATCGTATTTTTCGTAGATAAAATTTCAAGATATTCATCTCTGAAAGGATCTTCAAAATAATTAACAGTTCGATCTATTTACATAAGTTTTTTTGCAAATAATATGATCGGTAATTTAAATATAAATATTAACACTTCACTATTATTCACTCCCATGGTTTCAGATTATTGTTGAAATAGACGATGATAGTCGTGAAAGATGAATTAATAAAGAATAGCTAGAGATTCATTCGACGGAAAATTCAATTTTTTGTCACATTCAAATAAAGAAAAAGTACAAGAAATATTTGGTGAAAAAACTGTTAAACATTGAATCCCTCATAACGAGATTTACAATTAGGTAATAAGAGAAGGAGTAGTAAGTATTGCAGGTGTAGGGATAAGCATTAAGAAGCTTTGGAATTTCTAAATCTCGCGCCCCATGATTTTCCATGCTCCGCTTACGTCGGATTAAGATAATTACTGCGTCTGACCAGATTTCAGGGTTTTCCTGATGCCTTTATCAGGACATATCTCTTTCATTATTTTGTCGGGTATTGGATAATTATGTTTCGCCGGTTAGTTGTGTCAACAATGTAAATTTAAACTAAATATTAAGTAATTTTCTAGTAAGAAAATTATTAACTATCTCTCTCTCTCTCTCTCTCTCTCTCTCTCTCTCTCTCTCTCTTTATAAAATCACCATTAAAAACTACTATATTTATGGGATAATTGAATGGAAAATGACATATTACTCTTATAAATTATATAAAATACAATATTACACAAATTAGTAATTGGTAAGTCTAGTTTTTAATACATGAAGTACTTGGAGTTATTTATAGAAAAAATTCATCGGGTTACGCATTATTTCATATCTTACGAGTTTAATGCCCGCATAATCTATTTAATTCCTATAATTATCCCTCTCCTCGTAGCGGCAATATCATAATTAAATATACCGATTCCAAAAATACACTAAATTAGTATAAAATATTCGATAACTAGCATCTAATAGGTAAATTCCAATTAAAATACGATTCATGAACGAGGTTCTACAAGTAATAGATAATGCAACATGAAAATGAGGATTTAAAAGCTAATGACTTAAATAAACAATAATGATTATTACAATAATATTTATAATTAATGTTTGGTATAATTTAGGAAAGCGTCTGTAATAATATTGATAAACGAGCTTCAACCGTTTGGCAGACTTTGATGCAATTATATAAGAACTTCATTTATTGTTAAAAGTACAATAAATGTACTTTTGGCTAGGCATTAGTAAACGTAGTTTAGAAGTACTAGACTTATGTGAAGAATGTTTTATTCAATCATAATGAAAGTAAATAAGAAAGAAAGAAAGCAAGAAAACCATTATATATTTAAATATTTGTCATTATTGAAAAACTGTGGCTGCAAGATTTTTATATTAATATTAATATCTGATATTTACTAGCAATATTAATCAACAACGAGTCACGCTTGATGTAAATAACATAAAAATTGTATATTAATGTATAGATGAAATTAATGTTTTACGTCATTTCAACAGATAAAAATTTTATTCAATCATATTTTCTTTTACATATTTCCATTGTCGCCATTTTCTAAATACTTTACTTGTATTAACCACTCGCGAACTTATCCCAAATCAATAATGATCACATTAAAGCCTTCATTTATATAAAATAAGAGCATTTAGTACAATTGCAACAATAATGTGACAGCATTCCCATAATACAATTTATTCTCAATCTCATCAGAACTCGTGCAATTAAATATAAATCAAATCAAACACAGGCTCGAGTTATTTAAAATTCATGAGAAAGTATATTCGAGCCAGTTAAGAAAATAGCCGTGTAAACATACGGTCCCTAGTTGCATTAAATCAGTGACGAAGTAGTAAAAAGAAAGCCAAGCACGAGTTCACAATCACGTGTCCCAACAGCTTGGAAGCGCGTACTCTCGCTGCATCTTAATTGTCATCGTCATCGTCATCGTCATCGTCATCGTCACCACCACCACCACCACCACCACCACCACCACCACCACCACCACCACCACCACCACCACCACCACCACCACCACCACCACCACCACCACCACCACCACCACCACCACCACCACCACCACCACCACCACCACCACCACCACCACCACCACCACCACCACCACCACCACCACCACCACCACCACCACCACCACCACCACCACCACCACCACCACCACCACCATTACCACCACCACCACCACTACCATCACCATCATCATCACCACCACTACCACCACAACCACGACCACCACCACCATCGTCATCATCATCGATACAATCCCTACGCGTCGATTCGGACCAACGACGTTCAACGCCCCAGGTTCTCTTCCAGGGTCGTCCATCTAATTACCCATTAAACGACATTACATTGTGCAGGAGACACGACGTTCGTTCTCCCTCTAGCCTTGCGACGCCTGGCGCTCGCGTGCGCGCGCACTCGGCCACGTGCTGTAAATACTGAGGCGCGCGCGAACACCCGCAAATATTAGAGCCCGATTATTGCCACGAGCGGCGCTTATCGATCGCCTTTGACATCGCTTACTTGCGGCTCGACAACTAGACGACGCGTGCCTCTTATCTATCACAGCGTCGGGAATTTATGCAGCAGTGCAGGGGCACGCGGCACCACTTGGAGCTAATCAAACGCAGTCTATTCATTTGGTCGATTGGTAGCTCGTCTTAAGGACATGCGTCCTTGAAATATGCGCCGGTTTCAGGATAAAGGACAATTTGCACAAGAGGTCCTGGTATCGTAATGGTGCATAAAGCATTTGGTCCGTTTAAATAACGATTGGGAGAGAAAAAGGGCGAGAGCAGGTTTGTGGAGACGGGAATCGTGGGGCGAGCAAGGGCTAATAGATCAAAAGTCAAAAAAAGTCGAGATACCATGGAATATCAAACTTACCATCACTCTTGGCGTGTCCCAAAATCTGGTCGATGCTGTAGACCGTCCGTTTTTGATTGTAGGTTTGCGCCATCTCGCCTGTCAATGCGGTCCCCGTGAACGTGAGCGCGCGCCCTTGGAAGATCCAATGTGATATAACAGGAGCGGCGAGGACGACGGTCGTGGCGGTGACGGTGACGGTGACGGCGGTGGCGGCGGTGGCGGCGGTGGCGGTGGCGGTGGCGGTGACGGCGACGGCGATAACAACAGTGGCAACAACGTTAATGACGAGGTCCGTCAGCGAGCCGATCAACAACAGTCGGATTATCGGCGCTTCTCACGTCCTCACCACAACCCTCCCAAGATCCGCGCGAACCCCATTAAGCACGATGAGCTCCTCTTGAGTCGGAATATCCCTCGGCACTCGGGGCTGCAACGAGAATTCAACGAGAATTCGACGAGAATTCGACGAGAATTCGACGAGAGATGGCTGGAGCACGGGGCGAGGTCGGGACGCGAACTGAGCTCACGCTCCTCGGCGCTCAGCCCTTAAAATCGCCCGTCGCACCGACACCCCTCGCAGCCTCGCTTCCACCCCTCCCGTCCCCTCGCCGCCTTCGCCGAGCGCCGAGCCGAGCAGACGGGCCGACACCGCCATATTAGCCGGCCGGCCCATGGCCGCGCGCCGCCGAACCCCTGACCTCGCCGCTGCCCCCACCCGCGGCCCCAACGCCGGGTTGAATGGAGACCTGGGCGGGGAGTACATTTCGCCCTTCCGCGTAAATTCCCTCTATCCCTCCCCCCATCCCAACCGCCCAGCCACCCACCCACCCTATCCGGCTCCCGCTCCCGATCCCGTTCCCGTTCTCGTTCCCGTTCCCGTTCCCGTTCCCGTTCCCGTTCCCGTTCCCGTTCCCGTTCCCGTTCCCGTTCCCGTTCCCGTTCCCGTTCCCGTTCCCGTTCCCGTTCCCGTTCCCGTTCCCGTTCCCGTTCCCGTTCCCGTTCCCGTTCCCGTTCCCGTTCCCGTTCCCGTTCCCGTTCCCGTTCCCGTTCCCGTTCCCGTTCCCGTTCCCGTTCCCGTTCCCGTTCCCGTTCCCGTTCCCGTTCCCGTTCCCGTTCCCGTTCCCGTTCCCGTTCCCGTTCCCGTTCCCGTTCCCGTTCCCGTTCCCGTTCCCGTTCCCGTTCCCGTTCCCGTTCCCGTTCCCGTTCCCGTTCCCGTTCCCGTTCCCGTTCCCGTTCCCGTTCCCGTTCCCGTTCCCGTTCCCGTTCCCGTTCCCGTTCCCGTTCCCGTTCCCGTTCCCGTTCCCGTTCCCGTTCCCGTTCCCGTTCCCGTTCCCGTTCCCGTTCCCGTTCCCGTTCCCGTTCCCGTTCCCGTTCCCGTTCCCGTTCCCGTTCCCGTTCCCGTTCCCGTTCCCGTTCCCGTTCCCGTTCCCGTTCCCGTTCCCGTTCCCGTTCCCGCTCCCTCTCACGCTCCCTCTCACGCTCCCTCTCACGCTCCCCCTACCACACCCACACCCACACCCACACCCACACCCACACCCACACCCAAACCCACACTCGCACCCATACCCGCACCCGCTAACGCTCCCACTCACGCTACCGCTTCATGAGTGTGAGACCTGTCTTGTGCGGCTCGCTTTCCCCGCATCCTCGTTTTAACCCTGCGCCGGTGAGTGAGGTTTCGTCGATTAGCTCGTGTCGCCGACGACTATTCCCAATACCCCCCCCCCCCACACACACACAACTCGTCACTCCCTCATTCGATGTCTCTTTCGCTTTTCTTCTTCTCCCTTTTGACTTTTTGCTCTCCATTGCCGAGCGAACGTTACACGTCGGCCCCACTCTCTCGCGCTATTCGTATTTCTTTAATTGCCGACGATATCCAACACTTCGCGGACTTCGAGGAAGTGGCGAAAAATAAGGCCGTGTTGGTGCTTATTTCATCTATCGGTATGTCATTTCCTCGACGCTTCCACTCGCCCCTTCATCCAGTTATCTACGAAAAAGCTGGTGCGAGTATTTTGGGGGTCAATAAATAAAGGCTACGAGGGGATGGACGACGATGCTGCGAGCCGAGATTTCTCTGCGCGTCCAACTAATATTTAGTAACGCGTTCAAAAATCTAATTTTCTTTCACATCGAATGACAGAAACAAGATATCGATGCTCAAACTTTCTCCCACTATTACAATGAGCCTTACGTTACGTAACTATTTACAATCTATATGCAAATGATATACAATGGTGTTTGATAATAGAAGAAAATAAGCAAATATCAAGATGAAAGTTTTAGTTATCGTGTTCAATTGATTATTAAGAGATATAATGATCACTCGTACAAAGAAAGAGTGAGATTTCTTTAAAAAAAATAATAATAATATTAAAATGAATAAAAAATTAAAACGAAAGAAAGAGAAAATATTAAGATATTAATTTATATTAACTTAAAGCCAACATTGGAAACTATAATTACCGAGGTGACAAAGATATTGCAATTATTGGAGGGAAAAAAAAAATCACATCGACGTGACTTCTACTTTGTTCTTTATAAAATTATTAAAAAGATATGCTGGGAAAAATATGTAAATATATGTTTTAATAATCTGCATTTGCATAATGAAAAATTCAAATGATACGTCCAGTATTTGAAATGAACAGATAATACTCTATAGCAATTGCAATATGTACACACACGCGCACACACGCACACGCACACGTTTTAACAACAACAACAACAACAACAACAACAACAACAACAACAACAACAATAATAATAATTTGATTATCGACATTTATTATTAAATTATATTTTTTATCCATCTGGAGAGACTAGAATTTTTATAATCCAATTTATCCATTGACTTTATGATGAAATAATATTTAAAAAACAATGCAAAAAATGTTTAACAATATTTCATGATTCAACACAATGTCACGCTCTATCGCTCAATTCTTTCCTGATGATAGACAAATACTTACGCTTATAAATTACGAATGGTAAATATGGTAAATATTTTTTCAGTTTCCATAAATTCGTATGCACAATAAATTTAAATAAATGTAGCAATTTCATTGATTGCATTTCTCAAAATTAATACAATTATGAAGAAGAAGGGGCGGAGAATACTTTAACATTAAAGTTTATTTGAAAAGTTAATAGAGATGAAGATTTATTTGTTAATTGACTCGTCTTGATGAATTTTGATGCTAGCATATTAATAGAAACTTTTGTATTATCGTTGGATCGTTATCTTTCCAATATTTTCTCTCTTATAAATGGATGTTTATTTTATTTATACAAATCGATGTGTTTATACTGAATTTAGTTTGAACAAATATTTGAGCTGCGATAGTTTCGAATGAAATTGCATCCTCGTGTCTTCGTTTTTGTGGACGCGGAACTGAAAATATCATACAATTGAATTTGAACTAATGGCGTGGAATAAAGGACCAATCATCACATCAAATACATGAAAGAGACGAAATATCATCGGCGAAAGTATTGACAATTTGAACTAATGAAACAAGCGCCAAAGGACTTACCTACCATAGCTATTCTTATGAAACGTGTCTGCGCTTTAAGTGCATAACAATAACCTTAGGGGTAATTAAAAAACGAGAGAGGAAAGGAAAAAAAAAAATTATCTTAATCGCTCCTCCCGACGTTTCAACGCATTGGATTGGCTAGACGTTCAAATAAGAATATGTATTCCCTTAATCGTCGTTATTAGCTGTCAGAGCATAGAGATACGTATATAAATATTAGCCGGCAAGCCAGTAATTTTTTGTTTACGGGATTATCGTTTGTTAATATTTGGAAAGGGCCGCTTTGAAAAGGAATTTCCCGGAGGACCGAGAGGAGATCCCGGAGCTAGAAAAATAATCGCTTTCCAAAGTGATTATGTTTATTTACATGTTTGGTATTTATATTATGCCGATAAAGAGAAGGAGGCTGGATAATCGCCGTTGTTTTCGCATGATTCCTCGTGGTCGAGGGCGCGTTGCGAAATTGCGTTGACCAGGTGGCCGACGCCGGGATACAAAGGCGCGCAAGTAGCAGCGGGGAAAAGCAGGTACGCCGCGCACAAAAACGTCTTCGCCCGGAGCGGCGTGCGCCCCGTCGTTTTTCAATTTCGTAATTGCGAAAAATGAGGCCGTGTCACGTAGATGTCTCTCTCTCTCTCTCTCTATCTATCTATCTATCTATCTATCTATCTATCTATCTATCTATCTCCCTCCCCTCTCACTCACTCTCTATCTATCTCCCTCTCCTCTCACTCACTCTCTATCTATCTCCCTCTCCTCTCACTCACTCACTCTCTATCTATCTCCCTCTCCTCTCACTCACTCTCTATCTATCTCCCTCTCCTCTCACTCACTCGCTCTCTCTCTCTCTCTCTTTCTCTCTCTATCTCTCTCTCTCTCTCTCTCTCTCTCTCTCTCTCTATCTATCTATCTATCTCCCTCACCTCTCACTCACTCTCTATCTATCTCCCTCTCCTCTCACTCACTCGCTCTCTCTCTCTCTCTCTTCTCTCTTCTCTCTCTTGTCTCACTCTATTCTCACTCTCTCACTCTGTCATGCGACCATCCTCTCTCCCTCGGCGGCACGTCCCATCCTCGTCACTCGTACTAAACGAAAATTTGCTTATGATTATCCTCTCTTATTCTAAGACAACACCTCCGGCGGCTAGTGCACCGAGTGGCCAGCGCCTAATCCGGACCCCAAGAACAAAATGAGCCCCGTATTCGCAAGCTAATGCTTGCACAATTCTCTCTCGAACTTAAATTCGCGTGATATATATATATATATATTTTTTTTTTTTTGCATTACTAAGACTTTACGTCCCGTGGCCATTGTACCAATTGCCTTCCAATCATCCTTGCCGCGCGAATTCATCACTATCGTCAGCAATTCGTACCACTCCACTCGACTATTTTTCCAGAGAGCAAGTTTGCAATGTAGGATCGAGCGATCGAGCTTCCACTTGAAAACTCAGTTTTCAAAGTGATTGCTAGCAATATGGGACGTGGCTGTTTTTATTGTTCTTTCTTGTTTCTTGTTTTTTTTTTTTTTTTTTTTTTTTTCTTTTTTTTTTTTCTTTTTTCTTCATTTTTATTAGTACCAAGGCCTATTATCGAATTTTTTTATCGAGGACGATCGATAAACGATAACAGAGAATTCGTGTATTTGCATTCTTTGAAGATTAGTGGACATTATAGATTTCGTTAATTTTAATGTTGAAAACGAGCGAGTCCCTAAAGTGCGCTTCCTTCTTCTCTCGGGTCGAAGAAATTAAATGCCATCCTTACATTGTACGTACTTTAAAATAACCATTTCCGTAAATCCATATGCCAATTAAACCTACTAATTTGGGAATTTCGACAATTAAACAACTCAGAACTAATATTGCAAATCTGCTTTTCCTCGTAATTTCAAGTCCTCTATACACCGTATAAAGATTTCAAGAGATTACTTTTGCAATTTTTGTTCCTGTAATGCTACCGTCTGTTATGATAAAGCGCGCGACAGAAGGGGGAGGGGAGGAGGACGACCGAGCGAATGTTCATTGTAATCGTGGAGCAAACGTGATAAATTGTCTCGGACTCCACTCATCCAATGTGTCCGCCAGCTTAGGCTGCTACTTGATTTTAAGAAAACTGTTAACTTCTAGCGTCCGGCCCAAGATTATAACGAAAGAGATTATATCGTTCGTATTATAAATTCAACAGGTTGGGTTAAGACGAGGGGCTGTATCATCGATCGTTAAGGCTCGTTTCTTATTGCTCGATGCATCAACTTTTTTGTAATATTATTTGCATGTCGCTGAGCGAGTTTCAAGCTAATCGTCAATGGGACGATAGGAAGGAACGGTTAGGCATGGTCAGGCTACGTTATATGCACGGCTCAAGGCCAAGCGTGCGCGCAAAGGGGACATAATAACTAAAATGAGTGACGGATTAATTTATCCGCAAGCGCAAATAGCGACAGATAAAAAGTCGGTAAAACCGTGTGAACTCATAAAACAAACATCGTAAAATATTTGGGGAAGGAAAAATGAAAGGGCCCAGTAGAGTCGATGCTTCTCGCACGGTAGCTGTCTTTCTCTTTGGCTCCCGGCTCCCTACCGCATGGGCGGCGGCGGCGGCGGCGGCGGCAGCGGCGGCGGCGGCGACTCTCTTACTCCCACCGCCGTACCGGCGCTACGAATTACCCCGGTAATGAGCTTAATTTTCGGTCAGTCGTCCGGGGGCGCAGTGCGCCTGGTGGTACCCCACGGGTCCGCACGGCTAATGCGATTTCATTAGCCGAAGCAGAGTAGGAGCGCGTGCGCAATCGGGAAAATGCCGTACCGAAATGGGAATCCCCACACTGTCTGCGAGGCCGCCATCCCCGGGGCCTCACACAGCTACTTATCTACATCTCGGGGCATCTACCCCCGCGCGTAATCCGCGCCCGGGGACTTTCCCATCATTAGACATGCGTAACGACTGAAGAAAGTTGCGTTGTCGTCGTCGTCGTCGTTATTCGTCGTCGTCGTCGTCGTCGTCATTGTCGTGGTCGTCGTCGTTCTCATTGTCGTCATTGTCGTGGTCGTCGTCGTTGGTGA